TAGTTTTTGGCTTTTTGAGATACAGTCTCATGTAGCTTAGGGTAGCTTTGAATTCGCTATGTAGCCAAGAATAACTTTGAACCACTAATCCTCCGGCTTCTACTTCACAAATATTGGGGTTACAGAGTGCACCCTCACTCCCGCCTGCATGAATGACACTCAGTAAAAAAACTGGGGAGGGGGTGTGGGGGTGTCAGTCTTTCTTTGGAAATCTGGTCCTGATAGCCAGAGAATCAGGAAAATGGACAGAGCTAGAAAAAAATCATTGTGAGTGAAGTAACTCAGGCCCCAAGAGACATATTTGGATTGTATTTATTTATATAAAAGTTAGCTGTTAAATTTTCAATAAACAGATTACAATCCAGATAACTACAGAGGTTAGGTATAGATGAAGGAACTGGGGATGGTGGTGGCAAATTGAAACTCCCGAAGAAGGGAAATAGAATAGATAGTTATGGATGGATGGGAGGAGACTAGAATGGGAGGATCAAATGGGGAGGAGGAGGGAGGATGGGCTAGGGAAGAAATATGGGGAAGGACAGCTGAAACTAAAGGCCATTGGAGGGGTTTATGGAACACAACACAGAAGAAGCTTCCTAAAATATATACATATATGAAGGTTATCTAAATGGAGTCACCAAATAGCCGGGGAGATGGAACACCAGCTGGACATCTTTTGCCGCCAAATGAAGCCTCCAGTTCTAGGAATGGGTAGCATCTAGTCAAATTGTTAGCCAAAGGGGACCCACGGGAACCTCCAAACAATCCAGACTGTTGCCAAGGCTATTGGTTGCTCTCCACAGACTGATGGTTAGGAACTATGGCTGAAGACAACTCAGTGAACCTGGAGCAGTTGAGCTGGTGAGCCTTCACCCTACTGACTAGTGTTCATGACACTGGAAGGTACTTACTCTGCGTGCTACCAGAGCAGAAAGGTAATACCAATCCAGCTACAAACCCTTCAAGCTGCAATGCTGACCTGAACACAAGAGGTCCCAGTGGGAATAGTGGCTCATAGCTTGTGGAACAAGCCAATCAATACCTGATTGGAGTTACACCCCACTCCATGAGATGGAACCCATCCCAGACACTGCTCAGGTGGTCAAGAACCTGAGACTAGCTAGGCCAGGAACCTTGGGGAAAACGGAAATGATTCCTAAGGACATTCTGCTGTACTCATAGATCAGTGTCTTGTTCAGACTCCATCAGAGAAGCTCCCTTCTGCAGCAGATGGGAACTAACAGAGACCCCATGCAAGGTGCAGAGAGTAAAAGACCTTGGAAACACCATCACCAGTGGGGCATCTCCATCAGTTCCCTCCCCCACAGAAGAGGAGGGGGAAAGACTGTGAGAGCCAGAGGGGGTGGAGAACAGCAACAAAGCAAGGCCTCTAACCACAGCGGGACTGATGCACACATGGACTCAGAGACTGTGGCAGCACGCACAGGGCCTGCACAGGCCCTATGCCCAACAGAAGATGGCTAACATAAATGAACTCAAATTGTATTTTTAGAAGGTTTTTTTTGGGGGGGGGTTCATAATGCGTCATCTAGGCGTTTTTGTCTTGCTCTTTTGCTTATATATTAAGATTTCCGGTTTTGTGTTTTTAGGGGATTTCTGTGTATGCCAGTATGAATGTCTCTATATTTATATGTGTTACTTGTACCTTTTCTTTGGCTTTTTGTTTTTTTTCCTGTTCATTTGTTTTGTCCTATTCAGGTTTGTTTTTATTTTATCTGATTTTTTTCCTCTTCTCCTCCTCTTCCTCTGCCTCCCTCTTTATATGCCTGATAGTTTTCTAGAAAGAGAGAACAAGAAAGAATGTGGATTTGGTGGGTGGGGATGTTGGGAGGATCTGAAAAGAATGGGAGTAAGGGGCACCACAACCAAAATATATGGTATTAAAAACTATTTTCAATAAAAAAGTAAAAAAAAAAATTTAAGGTCAGTTTTCACTTTCTAGGTCAAGATAAACTCAGGTTGGTGATCTTTTTGCCTCAGCCTTCTGCATGCTGCTGTTACAGCATTATAGCCAGTTCCTGGATCAAAGGGCTTGTCTCTGAGACTCCAGAGTCGCCTTTCCTCCTGTCTGCCGATTCTAGAGTGAGGATGGAGGTTGAGAATCCATCAATCAGCAGAGCGTGTGGCTCTGCCCCATGGCTGAAACAAATACAAGCCTAAGGGCTGGTGCACTGATTTTAGAGTCCTGATGCAGCAAGAAAACCTGGGATTCTGTCATGCTGGGTGGAGGCAGATGGAGTTTCTGGACCACACAGGAGGACCAGAATGAGTACAGATGACTGCCGTTGAAGACACTGGGGCTCACTGGAGGCGTCATAGGGAAATCCTCCGGCTGAAAGGCACAGTATGAAAAATGAAGGACAAAGGACAAGTGGAAGCTGAGCTAGACATAGTTGAGGGCAGGGTAAGTAGAATGGAAGCCAAGACCACCAAAGGGCCCCTGCTGAGGCACAGGTGAGCATCAGGAGGTTCATCAAATATCTGAGAGAGGGGAGTTGGCCTAAAATAGTTCATTTGTTAATTTTCAGGGAGCAAGTGGGAGACTTGGTTTGCTTTGAAGAGGCAATGTTTAAGAGTAACTTTATACTTGAAAAATATTTACAAATGTTTAAAAATTGCTACGAAATACAATGCCATAGAATGGACCTAAATTAAATCATGAGGTTAAAATAAAATAGTAGTAAGAATAAAATAGGCACATTGCAAGAGAAATGCTAAAATCAAGAAATCTTTTTTTTTTTATCGATTTTCATTGAGCTCTACATTTTTCTCTGCTCCCCTCCCTGCCTCTCCCTTTCCCTCCAACTCTCTCCCAAGGTCCCCACGCTCCCAATTTACTCAGGAGATCTTGTCTTTTTCTACTTCCCATGTAGATTAGATCCATGTATGTCTCTCTTAGAGTCTTCATTGTTGTCTAGGTTCTCTGGGATTGTGATTTGTAGGCTGGTTTTCTTTGCTTTATGTTTAAAAACCACTTATGAGTGAGTACGTATGACAATTGTCTTTTTGGGTCTGGATTACCTCATTAAAAATGATGTTTTCTAGCTCCATCCATTTGCCTGCAAATTTTAAGATGTTGTTGTTTTTTCCTGCTGTGTAGTACTCCATTGTGTAAATGTACCACATTTTTCTTATCTATTATTTTGGTCGAAGGGCATTTAGGTTGTTTCCAGGTTCTGGCTATGACAAACAATGCTGCTGTGAACATAGTTGAGCACATGTTCTTGTGGCACGGTTGAGCATCCTTTGGGTATATACCTAAAAGTGGTATTACTGGGTCTTGAGGAAGGTTGTTTCCTAATTTTCTGAGAAATCGCCACACTGATATCCAAAGGGGCTGTATCAGCTTGCAATTCCACCAGCAATGCAGGAGTGTTCCCTTAACCTCACAAGCTCTCCAGCATAAATTGTCATCAGTGGTTTTTTTAAATTGATTTTTATTGAACTCTACATTTTTCTCTGCTCCCCTACTTCCCTCCCCCCCAGCCCTCCCCCAAGGCTCCCATGTTCCCAATTTACTCAGGAGATCTAGTTTTTTTCTACTTCCCATGTAGATTAGAGCTATGTAAGTCATCAGTGTTTTTGATCTTGGCCATCTTACAAGTGTAAGATGGAATCTCAGAGTTGTTTTGATTTGCATCTTTCTGATGACTAAGGATGTTAAGCATTTCCTTAAGTGTTATTTGTTTCTCTGATTTCTTTCTCAGTCCATTTATCATCTGTGTACAGGAGGGCTACTGATTTTTTTTAAGTTAATCCCATATCCTGCTACATTACTGAAAGTGCTTATGACTTATAGAAGTTCCTTGGTAGAATTTTTAGGGTCGCTTATGTAAACTATCATATCATCAGCAAATAGTGAGAGTTTGACTTCTTTTCTGATTTGTATCTCCTTGATCTCTTTTTGGTGTCTTATTGCCCTAGCTAGGACCTCAAGAACTATATTGAATAGATATGGCGAGAGTGGACAGCCTTGTCTTGTTCATGATTTCAGTGGGATCACTGTGAGTTTCTCTCCATTTAGTTTGGTGTTGGCTGTTGGCTTGCTGTATATTGCCTTTATTATGTTTATGTATGTTCCTTGTATCCCTGCTTTCTCCAAAACCTTTATCATGAAGGGATGTTGTATTTTGTCAAAAGCTTTTTACAGCATCTAATGAGATGATCATGTGGTTCTTATTTTTCAGTTTATTTATATAGTGGATTATGTTGACAGATTTTCGTATGTTGAACCATCCCTGCATCTCTGGGCTGAAGCCGTCTTGATCATGGTGGATGATGGTTCTGATGTGTTCTTGGATTCAATTTGCCAGTATTTTATTTAGTATTTTTGCATTAATGTTCATGAGTGAAATTGGTCTGTAATTCTCTTTTTTAAAATCAATAAATCTTATATGCATAAAAGAAACATGACCTTTAGAGGAACAACAATGACATGGCAGCTGATTTGTTGATCTGATAGGAGAGACAGAAATCAAAATGGAAGGTGACACCATTGAAGAAAGGGGGACCAGTGAGCCCTGAGTTCTACACTCAGCCCCAGTAGCCTCTGACAGTGAGCATAAAACCAAGATTTCTGTGACTGACCAGGAGCAGAAAGAGGGTGAGGGGAAGGGAAGGAGGACTCCTCTCTGGCAGAGATTTTCTTTGGGCATAAGAAATTGACCTTGAAGGGAGGGCAAAGATGCAAAAGAAACCTCAGCAGAACAGAAAGAGTGCCTTTTGTCAGTAAGGGTAGACAAGCATGGCTCACCAAAGCAAAGTTCATATTGTCACCCGTGGTTTCTCAGTGTATCAAATTAAAGCCCAAAGTGTAGAGTATCTTCCAGTGGTAACTACCAGGTAACTAGGAGATCTATAGAGGCAAATTGATCACTTCACTGGGAAGGCAAATAAAGTTGAATTTTGGGGGTAGATCATAAGGAGCAGATGATGATGTCTATTTTAAATTTCTAGGACAACTGAAAAAAAGGAAGAGATGATGCATGAGCTTAGTGGAGGATAAAAGTCAAGGCAATGATATACGGGCATCTCTGGCATCTGCATGGGATCGGCTCCAGAACATCTGGGAACGCTGCTCGTCTCTTAGATGAAATGGTGTGGACTTGGAACTTGTCCTCATCTTCCTGCACATTAAAATCCTCTCAGAATTACTAACACATCAAACACAGGGCAAATCCTGTGCTTAACAGTTACACTCTCTTGTTCATGGAGTAATGATAAAAAAATTCATATCTCTACATGTTCAGTGCAGATGCAATTTATGTTTTATGTTTTTAATCTTTAACAGCTGCAGAACCTGGGACCACAGCCAGCTACATTTTCTTGGAGAGGATACAAGGGGAAAGAAAGCGGACATGAAAGAGGACCAGATAGAAAACAAATAGTGAAATGGCAGGTACCAACCAGTAGAAGCAGTCACTCCACTAGAGGTCAAGTTCTAACTCAAGTTGACATGAGATCTTCAGGATAAGCAAAATAATAATAAAATCCAAACATTTAAACTGATATTATACTTAATATGAAAGTCCAGAAACTTTAAAAGAAAAAAATGTGCAAGGTATACCATGAAAACACTAATCGATAATTCTCAAGATGGATGTGTGAGCAGATTATGCACTCTGAAGCTCATTTATGAGAAGCATTCACCTTTGCTAACGATCAGAGAAACACACATAAAATTGTATAGAAATCAGCTAAGATGTGGCGATGTACACTGGCTAAAGATAGATGACATGCAACTTTAGCAGAACTGAATCCTCTGATGCTTTTTAATAGTGTTGGGGTGTGGCAGATATTCACAGTGATGTGCAAATCTGATTAGAATTACCTACTGTGGTTGAAGATGTCTGTTTTCATCTTCTTCTCCAGTGTTCTTCTCCTGAGTATAAGCACAACCAAGTATGTGTGTGTGTTCAAAAGATCCACACATGAAGGATCCTGAAGTGTTATTCAAATGTCCTATACTGGCAACGCCATGCTATGCTGGAAGGACATGCTTGACATATTCATGCAGTGGAATGCAAGGAAGCACTGAAATTAGCAAACTCATCAAACAGTGAATGACCAACCTGTCAGGATGAGTGGAGGAAACTGGTCACAACATATCCTGTGGCTATGGACTTAGGGATCTGGGTTTCAGGGTAGCGGATTTCTTTAAGAAGTGTGAGGCCACCAGAAAGTGGTATGAAGGTTGTCTGGTTGTTGGCATTGTTATTAACCTGAGATGGGCCATGCATAAATTTTATTTTGCAAAAAATTTACTATATTGTACATTTACAGTGTGAGCATTGATTTAATTGAAAGAGTTAACAATGGACACACATGCAAAATAACACATGAGCATTACAAGAAGAATCAAGGCAGCATAGAAGCATCAGACATGCTACCATGATCTTTTAGGGGATGAAGGAGGAAAGGAAGCAAAGAAGTAGAAGGTAAGGATGGAGGAAAAGAAGGTGTAACATGAGGGGACCTGCTTGTTTGTGTTTTCTGTCCTGCCCGGTTCCCACGGCTGTTTAGTCCCATAGAAAAACCACACAGAGGACTACGTAAGTTATAAAGCTGATTGGCCCATTAGGTCATGCTACTTATTAGCTCTTATAGCTTATATTAACCCATTGTTCTGATCTATGTTTGCCATGTGGCTCAGTACCTTTTTCAACAGTGCAGATCACATCCTGCTGCTTTGGTGATCTGGGTAGGAGTGGAAGGAATCAACTTCCTCATTCCCAGAATTCTCCTGTTATCATTGCATCATTTCTACTTCCTGTCTGCTTTTCCTGCCTATATTTCCTGCCTGGCCAATCAGCATTTATTTAAAACATGATTGACAGATTACAGACAATTCTCCCACACCAGAAGAGATGAATGACGGTCAGATCATTGAACAGTGCCACCCAACATGAAATCCATCTCACTTTATCATGGGTCTTAGGTGGGATGTTTTTTGCTGTCCCTATTTCATGCAGAAGATACACAAGGTTGCTACCTGACTTTGGGATTGCTGTTTTTGTTTAGAAAGGGTCTTTCTTTGTAGCCGAGGCTGATGTGTAAACTCGTGGACAATCCTCCTGCCTCAGCCTCCAAAGTGACTGCCACACTTGGTGATGACAGACACACTTATTCCTTGTGAAGACCCGAACAAGGTTAAGTCACCTGGTGGACTGCCTTTTGGGTCATCTAAAGTGAGTTTGGCCGTCACATGAGGCACCATATAAATACACGCAAGGTGTTTTCCCTACCATTTTGAAGAATAGGAAATTGGGTTTCAGAGAGGCTAGAGACCAGCTCATCCAAGACATACATGTGGGGGAGCATGGCAGAAGCTCCTAGAAAATGATGTATACACACACACACACACACACACACAGAGAGAGAGAGAGAGAGAGAGAGAGAGAGAGAGAGAGAGAGAGAGAGAGAGAGAGCATCCTGTGTCTTTATGGCTTCTAAAGGATCTATCAGGCTGGGCAGCAAAGTAACTTAGGCCTGGTGCCTCTTAAGTGTTGTAGGACCCCTCAACCATCATTGCACATTTGAAAAGCATGTGCTGCCTACACGATTTCCTTCCTGATTATCATTTGCACAGATGATTTCATGGTTCAAACAAGTCACAGAAAAGCTAACAGCACAAAACCACTCTGTGCCCTTCCACACGGGTCTAACAAACACATTTGTGTCACTGCATCCCAAATTGAATGCATATTAGCTCATTTTTAAGCCGCTAAAAATATCTGCCTCTGGGCAATATTGGTGCACACCTTTAATCCCAGCACCTGAGAGGCAAAGGCAGGTGGATCTCTGTGAGTTTGAGGCCAGCCTGGTCTACAGAGTGAGTTCCAGGACAGCCAGGGCTGCACAGAGAAACCCTGTCTTGAAAAAAACCAAAAGAAAACAGAAAAAAATGGCCTCAGCTTCTCAGTTTCTCAGCCTCTTCCACTATCCTAAGAACCTAAGACCCAAGTTCAAATTCCACAGGCTGTATGATCTAGACATAACTGATGGGTGGACACTGGCATCGACAGGAGAAGGGGATTCTGTCTACCACGGAGAGCATTACTGACCAGCTGTGTCAACTATCCCTTAGATTGAAGCCTGGGGTGCCTGGACACGAAGGAGGTGGTACCAGAATGCCCAGCCTTATCCCTGTGCCTTTGTGTGTCCTCAAGGATGCTCACTTACTGAGGAGCTCCCGGGCTCCCTGGGGAATGACAGGCAGATGCTTCCCTTGTTTTATAGATGTCTGAGGAGAGACTTCCCTCCAAGGTCACTCTTGATATCTGCAGACATCAGAGAAGAGAAACCCAGCCTCTTCGGCTCCAACGCAAGCGCCCCTCCCCCCGCGCGTTTGCAGAAGCTGTTTTAGAGGCCATGGCGACGGAACGTTTGGAAAATGGATCTGAGTGGAGCCATACCTCATGTTTATGGTTTTTAAAAAGCATGCTAAGGGCATTTACCCAAACTAGGTTATTAAGACGACTTTTTCTGGCTGTCACATCTACTCATTGGCTCTTCTTTCTTTACTTCATTTTCTTAGCCAATGGGAATATTAAAAGGTTTGCTTAGTAAACTAATTCTTTAAACTCACAGAGAAATACAAGCTAAGAGCTCACACTGCCTCTTCCTTAATCTTTTTAGCTCACTGAGAAAATTTACGGGGCCCCTCTCCATTTTTCCCTTCACAGACCATTGGTGACATATCGTCCAGGATAATAAGTGAGAAAATGAAATTCGCTCTCCCTCCTTGAGGCGCACACACTCATCACTCAAGCCCCTGGCGTCTTCCTTCCTTCTTCCTCACTGGCTAGCCGTGAGTCCTGTGCAGGACTGGCTGAGCCTTTGAAACAGGAATCCTGGGGCCGCGTGTAGCCACCTCGTCCATCTCTTTCCAAGTGCTCTTCGGAAATGACCTCATCATTACTGGTTACACTCCGAAGGGTAATCTCCTTTAGTGAATGGGCGGAGGGCGTGCTCCTGGAGGCGCGCTTCGTATCGTTGCCGTGAGGTATTGTATTGTTCTGGAAAGGTGAACAAAGGAAATGGCTCTCAAACTGTTTTCACATCCGAGGATGAGAACTGTGTTACAGAACCTATTATGAGAGGAAACGGCACAGTCAAAGGTGGCGGCTGACCTCTGAAACCCAGCCTCCCGGACTCTTCTGGGCATTCCGGTGCTTGCCAAGGTTCTGTCTGCATTTCGAAGAGACTCAGATGTTTCCCATAATTTTTTCTCTATATGTCTGTATTTGTGGGTACATGCGCGTTTACATGTGTAAATGTTCATGTATATACACATGCATGTGACACCAGGGCTTGACATCTAGTGTATTCTCGGATTGTTCAGCCCCTCATTTTGTGAGATATCATCTCTCATATGTTCTGGAGCTCATGTATTTGGCTAGACTTTCTGGCCAGTGAGCTTCGGGAATCTGTCTCTTCTGTTCTCCTAGCTCTGTGGCTGCAGGCTAACTTTGCTATACCCAGCTTGTTTACACAGGTGTGCTTTATGGACTGGGCCGTTTCTTCAGTCCCTCTCCAGGATTCCGGAGAGTTGTCTGGGATTCTGGTACATGGCCCAGTGTTCTCTAGGGTTCACTTCTGAAAATTTCTCCAGTGTTTCTCGGGGTTCTCTGGGCTTCTAGCACCTTCCCCAGTGTTCCCTAGAGCTCTCCAGGGATCTAGACTCCACAAGAAAAGGCCCCACTGTTTATCTCATGGCAGGCAGGAAGACAGAGGAAGAGGTGGGGGGTTGGAGCTGGGGGCCTGGGGCGTCCACTTCAGAGGCATTCTCCAAGTCCTCCTGCCTCCTTTGCCTGTCACCTTCTCTATCTGCCCCTGCTGTCAGGTGACACAAACCACTCCTGTGGATGGAACCACCCAGTCAATGTTTCTACTGAGAGCTGTGACATCTACATGGATATTGGAAAGGCAGCCTGTGTTGATTGTGAATCTTGTGCCCCATGCCCTCTTAGCACCTATTTTCAGTATATCCACTGGGGGATTCTGAGCATCTCTGACCATCAGTAGAAGATGTGCCTGTTCTACCAGGCTCACCATTGAAGGCTAGGTTCAACCTAAGGCTTGTGTATAAATGGTTGGTCCCCAGTCAGATATTAGTTTTGAAGGTTCTAGAAACTAATTGGAAGAAGTAGTTCTTAGAAAAAATCCTTTGAAAGAAGCAGTTTCAACCTGCACATACTCTTGCACCCTGAAACTCTGCCTCAGAGGAGACAGAGTAGAGCCCCAAATTATAAGAATCAGACACTATGGAGTGAAGTCTCAGAAACTATGAGCCAAATGAATACTCTGTCTTGGGTTGTAATGCTTGCCCAGTAATGAGAAGAGCAGCTGATACATCCTCAGCAATGCTCTGAGATAAGAAGCAAATTCTCACACCACCCCATGACTATGCACAGCACCATTGACTGCCTTCTAATCATCTCTACTCTGAAGGAGTCAAAGAGATTTCCAGGTTATCCACTGGATGTGATCACCTTGTTGACTCTTGTCCTTGAATATTCCAGTTCCGCAGTGATTTGACTTTCTCTTATTTATCCTCCCTGCCCCCATCCCAGAGAGAGAGACAGAGACAGAGAGGCACATGGGCACACACACACAGAAATGGGGCAGACTACACACACACACACACACACACACACAGACATAAAAACACATAGAGAGGCAATCACACATACATACATGGAGGTAAACTATACACAGATATAAACACACACATACTCATGTACACAGAGGAAGAGGCAGACTACACACATGCACACACACAAACACATAAACATATATATATATATATATATATACACACACACAGAGGGGGGGGCAAACACACAAATACACACACAGAGAGAAGGCAGGCTATACACATATATGCAGTGAGAGGCAGACACACATACACACACACACACACACACACACACACACACACACACACTACTGCCGCCACAGGGAGCCCTTTCGATTCTTTCTGTTCACCCAGCAAGCCACTCAAGACCTCAGCCCCTCTGCTGACTTCCAATGCTTTTGCAATGAACCCCAGTTAGGGAGCTAAAAATAACCAACGGCCTACTTTCTCATGCTTCTGGAGGCCGAAATCCCGAGGCCAAAATATCAGCATGGTTGGTTCCCCAGGGTACTCAGGGAAGATCTGTCTGAGCTCCCAGGGTTCTAGGGGTTACCATAATCCTTGGGGATCCTTGACTTGCAGGTGCATGGCTCAGCTGCTGTCTCCATCCTCACAAGGCCAGTTCCCCCATGTGGCATCCCCCATGGTGTGTCCTCTCTGTGCCTTCTCATCCCTTACGAGGACTCTTGTCATCGGGCTTAGGAAACTCCTAGTCCAAGGTGATTTCGTCTTAGCCTGCAAAGCTTAGTTACACCTGCAAAGATGTTTCTCCGAATAACTCTATCATAGTTCTAGGAGAGCACACCCAAGGGGCTCCCATTCCCCTGCTGCAGCCACCTGCCATACTCCTGCTTCCAACCCATTTGGCTCCCACCTACCTATTAAAACCACACGGAGCTGTGATTTCCGTGAAAGCGTGAGTGAGCTCTCTGCCCTCCAAGTAATGGGACAGCATCCTTTCCTGTGACTCAATCGAAACAGTGATCTCGGTGCATCCGTCTGTCCTCTGTCCCCCAAACCCACCACCACCCTGTTGGCAGTCCCAGGGAACACAAAGCCAGCTTGTCTATGTCACTGTTAAGTCTGTAGCACTAAGCACAATCCTGAACTCGGAGACGCCCCTCAGGAGATCTGAGTTACTGACTTGATGAAGCACGCAGAGAGAAGGGAGCAGGAGTCTTGGGAGAGAGACCCCGAGATGAAGCCCTCAGCAAACCTGTGGTCCTCCTTGGGGATGGATCAGCAGAGGCGCTTGTGTTTCTGTATTTAACTGAGGAGAGTCAGAACAGCTAGGGTAGGGTCTCAAAGGGAAGATGTAAAGGTTTTAGCAGGCGGTGGAGTGGGTGAGAGAGACTCTTGGGAGAGTACAAATGGCCTCTGAGTCCCTTCCAGGTGCGGTAGGTATATCTGGCACTCTGCAGAATCTGTCGCAGGTCAAGCTTCATGGGCAAAGGCTCGCCATGCAGAAGGGTCTTCCTCATAAAGCCCCAGATTCCAGCTATGGGCTGGCTTTCCAAAAACCTTCTCAACACAGTGTACTATCCATCTACCTGCGCCCTGATCTCTGGGAAACACGACACAGATCATCTACCCAAGGCTGGCATGGTTAGCATGCTGCTGGCCTGCTGTGTGCATATACTGTCACTGTGTCTGCACCTACATGAAAGTCATTAAGCCCCGATATCAACATGCCTGGCAGTTGAGACAAAGGACTCTCCCACCGTGGCCTGTGTACCAGAGATGTTGATGTGTGGCCCACAAAATGAGAATGACCTTTATGTTTTAAATGGCTGAAATTTTCAAAAGGAAAATGACATTTCACAACATGAAAATCCTATGATGTTTGGATTAGAGCTCATAAATCAAGACAGATTAGGGCACATCTATATCTTCTGTGTGCTCTGTCTGTGGCTGTTTTTGCAGAAGATTGGAGACTTAAATTTAAGTTTTTTTTTTCCTTCCCAGGACTGGCATAGCAGCTCTTCTCTCAGAGGAAACTATACTGAAGGCTTAAACAGGACTGTCTGTGGAGGTACCCTGGGAATGCCCATAGTTGACGTCCTAAGTGATTCTCATGTTCTCAGAAGTCAGAGCACTGTTCAAGTAGAGGGATGCACAACAAAGACCATTCCCAAGGACAAAGGTAACTTTTCCTGCCTGGAGTTCACCAGGATGGACAGTTTTTAGTGTTATCTCTAGACTGTAGGGGATGTGTCTAAGTACATTTGGCTACCATCATGATCCAGATTGAATAATTTCATGTCATCATAAAATGAAGCTGGTAGTCTAGAGCTGTAGTTCAATTGGAAGAATACTTGCCCAGCATGCACTGGTTTGATGCGCAGCATCCTATAAATGGGGCATAGCGGCCCACACCTATGATCCTAGCACTTGGGAGGTGGAAGCAGGAGGCTTAGAAGCTCAAAGCCATCCTCAACTAGATAATGAGTTTTAAGCTAGCCTAGGATAATGAGACCCTGTCTAAAATTAAAGATAAAATGAACAACCAGAAATAACCCATAAGGAAAGACTCCGAAGGCAGGGTTCTGAAGGAGGTTCTGTATCTGCCGAGCCACAGGCCACCTCTCTGGTCCTTCTCCCTCTAGCTGGTCATCTCCAGCTCCATCAGCTCAATGAGACCCCAGTGCTGAGTCTCGGAGTCCCGTGAGTGTCTCACAGCCCCAGCCTGCAGGCACCAATGCCAGCGGCATTGGATGATGTTTGTCCCTGTTAATTTCTGCCCATCCTTCTTCTTGGTCTTGGAGGTTAATCTCCCTCCTGCTGACATGTGTGTGGAGGATTTCCTAGCAGTGAAATTAATTTTTATAAAATTCAATTATAGATACCCAATCTCATTCTCCTTTCTTGGAAATTCCATATCCTCGTCTACATTAGAATCCACCAACAGCAGCCATGTCTTCCTCCGGGGGAGATGTTTTACAGCAATCGTCTTTCTCTAGGAAGCTAGCACTCCAGGCGATGTGACTGTCTTATGAATAATAAAGGGAAAACTTGGTCTTTTTTCCCTGTGCTTGGGGTAACTCTGACTGGTTCCAGGTCTTTGTCCTCAGGCTCTGAGACACTCCTGCGTGGAGGCAGGCACCAGAAGAGAAGGTTTCTGAGCATGTTGTCTGAGAAGCTGAACAAGAGAGAGCACTTTTACATTTGCATGGAGGGGGGTCACAGTCTGACCAGCTGCTCTTCTGAGAGCCATGCAGGATAGAACAACACTTTGAACTACCCAGCATGGTGTCAAGTGTTGACCTATAGTGGAAACAAACCTGAGACCGAATTCACTGTGGATTGTGATGCACCTATTAAAATCTGCAAAGTGACAATGTTTCTGGCAGTCCCCTGCTTCAGCATGGTGGTAGTTTCATTCATAATTTCTGCTGGCTCCTGGAGTTCTGTTCTTCAGGCAGGGTCGCACTCAGAAGACCAGAGGTACAGAGGAGCTGGTTTCATAGCTCTACATGGACACCAAGTCCAATTATCTGTTGGGCTGTCTCCTTGAGCAGGCTTGGAGGGAGAGTCTATCATTGCCTCCTCCCTCCCTGCTGCCTGTGACCCCTGGTGTCCCTGGACTATCCGGGTATCACTATAGTTTAAGCTTCTGCCTTCCTTTCCCTTTGTCCTGTTTGTCTTGATGGCTCCTTGGCTCTTCCTCTAGGAACAGTGGCTATTGGGTTTAGGGCCCGCCTACTCCAGTGTGATCTGGGTGATCTACTCTGTTCTCAGATCAGGTCACTTCACAGGTATCTGGGACAAGTGTGCAGTTCCAGGGCAGACACCCTGCCCACAGCTAATGGTTGCCGTTTTTGTACCTTCTACTTGAGAGCTCTCTTCTTCTTCGTTGAGGATGAAATGGACTTAGATTATGTGGCCTGTGTGATTCCCCCCAAGAAAGACAGGATATGGGGGAAGACGGTGAACCTGTGTGATCTGCACTTGCCTTTCGGAACAGTGGGAAGCTGGGGATCCCACTCCTCTGAGCCGCAGCCAGGACTGAGATGAGCGTGGACTTTTTGAGACCCCTACCCTGCTTCTGCTCTGCTGTGTAACATGTGATCCCTGAGGCCAGTCCTCAGGATGCCTGCT